AAAGGGAGGTTTTTAGAATTAGTCTCATGGGTTTTGTGTTATTTATTTATTTATTGCGTGAGCGTTGAGTTGGGTTGTGGACTTGTGGTTTGGAAATGGAGAATAATATAATACTGGGTCGGGTTTCCAACTTGAAATAGACAGTTTTTTCTTTAAAAACTAAGTTCACAACAAATAAGAGTAAATGGATATGGTTATGAAATGAAAAAGTACCATCAAGTCTAGAGAATTTACACTAATTTACAAAATGTATTTTATGGTGGTGTCTAGGGTGATGACTTATTATTGTTAAAGAGAACACGTACCTATTTTTACGCCTAATCTTAATTTTATCTCTTTCCCACTTGTGAGATGTGTCTTCTTAGTCAAAATATATTAGGATTAAAAACTAGTTTATACAAAAAATATAAATTATTCAATCTTGTTGATGCAACATCCCAGATTAGAGATATTCATAAATTATCATAGGTCTTTTTAAGATCATCCTTTCAAATATTATTAAGTAAAACACACACAATTATGTACAATAGTTTTTATTTATCGATTACCGAAAAGAAGATGCGTCTTATTAATATAGATAAATATGAATCAATCTTTATAAGTCTTCTTTCAACCGTACAATCATATTCCTACACAACTTCAAGATTCTCTCATTTCGATGTGAATTCAACGACCACTCTTCATCATCTTCGACTTCGAGTATTACATTTGACAATGATATTTTTTTTTCAAATTTATTATTTTAGTGTGGATTGATCCATGCTAATGCCCATTTCAAAAACTTCATAGAACAACTAACAATGATGAAGGCCTCTTCGTTGGTGAAATATCTCCTCCTACCAAAAAATTGATTCAGAACAGCAACATCCAAGAGATAATATTATTAGTTAATCCACTATCTCTTTTAATTGTAATTATTTGTTTATTTGATATTATTTATCACACTTTTTTTTTAGTTATTAAACTTTTTTTTTTATATATTTATTCACTATCTAATAATTTTTCATATCTTATATATAAGAGCATGATTATCGGTGTTTTTGAGAGTTCCTACACATTTATTAAAGAAATTGTGTCAATAATAAATAGATATTTCACTTGTTTTCACGTTCCTGAACTAAAGCACGTCCTCATACTAAAACACGCTTCTACACTCCAATTAAGTAGGTAATGATAATAAATTAATAAATAAAATTACAAGAATGTAGTTGATTTGTTTTAAATGTGGGACTTATTTTAGATTTTTTGATGAGTTACATGAATATTTGAGAATTGTAGATGAATTGTTTAAAAAATTGAGAAGTGCAAAATAATATAAAATATTATGTGGGTCTCATTTAAAGAATCCAAATGGGTATGATAGACGTGGATGCTCTAAGTATTTTTAATCTAGACAAAATGAAGAATATTTTTATAGTTATTTATATTTATATATTTAATATTATTAAATGAACTATTTCTTTTAATTATATTTATTTATTTAATATTATTTATCCCATTGTCTCTTTTAATTATTAAACTATTATTTTCTATATTTATTTCACCAATTAATAATTTTGTATATTTTAGGTATGGTGATAAAATTTTCCTCTTCAGCCTGAGCTTCTTCCCCCGATGTCTATGAGAATTCTAAATACATCAAAGTTGATCATAATCAACGTTATTACTAAAGAAAATATTTCGTCGTTAGGATTGTGATAATCATTTTGATATTATGTGAAGACTTTCTACCTTTTCCCCAAGAGTTATGTGAAGTAATAACATTTTACCTTCTGATCTTCTTTCTTATCACTACATTTATCGTTATTTTCTTTGGCTACACTCACCACCTATCTAACTTTCACGAGAGAGCCATTTTCACAAAGAGAGGATTGTTTCTCTCTCGGCGACTTATCTCACCTAATGTATTATTTCTTTCTTTATCATCTTTCTTAACATCTTCATAGGCATATCGAGTGAGTTTCCCCTTCTTAATTATCTCTCTAATTACATCGTTAAAATGGACACACTTATTGTTGTCGTGGTTGTGACTTTTATGGAAATGAAAATATCTTGTTTTGTTAGTCTAGTGAATTCCTTTATCATGTATGGGTTTCTTATCCTAACTTCCTCGAAGTCGATATTTGCATAATCTTGTATAAATGTCTCCCTTGAAGTGTTCAAGGGAGTATAAGACTATAGACTGGATCGTGGTTCATTGTCTCTATCGTCCTGACTACGATTGTTGTGTGTCTCTCTCTCTCTCTCTCTCTGAAATCCTTATTCATTTCCTTAGTTTCCTGCTCCCTAACCTTTCACAACCTCTCCAAATATGATTTCATCTTTATAATTGATTTAGGGTTGGGCCCTTTTTAAAATATTGTTTAATATGTAAGTCCCTTTTAGCCATGCCTTTTTCGTGGAACATACAACCTAGTACCAGTCCCTTTTTACATTTCTAAAACCTTAATGGGTCATCCCCCACTTTCATAGCTACTTTGGTGAATCAATCAATATACTTCCATAACGTCTCATTTTTCTTATACTGAATTCCATTGAGTACGACTATCATAGTGGGTTGTCGCTCTCGAGCAGTGAATTGGGCGACAAAAGAGTCATAAATTTCCCTCAAAGAGTTTATGGTTTCGTTTGGAAGGGCTTTGTACCATGTCATTGCGGCTCATTTAAAGGGTTAACACAAATAATTTACCTTTCACGCCCACTCGGGCGTGGTAGCAGTCGAGTCTGGTGTCTACACACTCGATATGCTCGCCTGGGTCTCTTGAGTCATCATAATTGTCTAACATGAGAGGTTTCTCGAGAGATTTCAGGATCCCACTATTAAGGATGCGCCTCAAGAACAAGTTACTCTTCTTTTAGGGAATTTACGCGTCAACGCCATGCCCTTCCTCTCTCTGGGAGTAGCGCGGCAACGAGTGATAGTGACGATGGATCTCGAGTTGAGTGTGGCTCCTTAATTTTTCTCCAAACTCGAGTGACGAGGTGCCATTTCCTTGACGTTGGATACAATTGGAGAATATATGGTCTGCTATGTATGAGGATAGGGTGTCGACAAGGACTGGTTCTGATTCTACTCCCTAATCGTTGCTCAAGACCACCTTGCAAATAAAATGATTCCTTAGAGGATGTATTATAAGTTTTCTTTGACTATAAGTACTTTTTCAACTAACACGTGTGAATCCTGTTATTGCACCAGGTTATAAACATTGTTGAGTAAATTGTTAACCTATTGCATAGCTAAATTGGCTTGAATCCGCTAGAGCCTCTAAAGTATTTATTGTCTAAGAACCAAAGGTTGTGTTAGAGGTTACTTCAAAGTCTAGCCTTAGAGTGGTTGGTGGAAAAACATGAAAATCATAAGAACTTAGAAAATTCTCTGTTCAGTAAAGGGATTTGACTTTATGGTGTAGGAGTGAAAGAATAAGTAACCAAGACATGATCGTCCTCGACCATATGAGGGAGTAGAGTCTCCCTAATGAGATCAGAATGTTCACGGTTGTAGTGGTCGCATCAGTGGGGTTATGTTGAGAAACTGATTGAGTAAGTTTCAACGTAGCCATCAATTTATGAGTTTGATAGATAATTTATGCAAGAAGAGAAAGAAATCAAGTTGTACTAAAGAGACAATAGTTTCTTATGGAGTGTTGTACGAATTAAAAGCTAATTCACATATATGACGCCATTGTTTCATTTAGGAACTAGAAATAGTTGATGACAGTGTGATATGACTCAAGTGTGGTGTAGTGTGATTCAGGTAGGGCAGAGCGGGGTGGACTTGCAAGATTAGCACTCCAATAACCAAGTCAATGAATAAATAATAAGTAGTATGAGTGTTATAATGAGTTAAATACCTAGGCTCGACGCATGAAGAGCTTTATATAAAAAAGGCGGTTAGAAATGCTTCCTTTTAATTCAATGTCTTATTCGGATCACTGTTTGATTAAATATGACAATGATAAATTGAAAGAAGGTCATAATTATGCGTCATAATCTTATATATAACATATAAGATTTTCTAATGCTTGAGTTTAATTTAGGACTTTTCATGAAAATTGGGTATCCTTAAATGACCCAATAACCAAATTGATCAATTTTCAAAAACTCATATCATTGTTATAGAAATCGAGCTAGACACATTTAAGCCCAAAATAAAACAAATACCGTTATAGACTAGATTTTGTTTAAAATAAATTGGTTTCATACATGGATAGTTCTAGGTGGGGATATCCGAACCATACCAAAACTCATTTGGAACATAATTGGATTTTAATTATTCTTTCTCGATGGTGATTAGAGCGGAAAATAAAAATTATTTGGGGATTCAAATTTGAGTTTGGAGAGGTAAAAACCGTCTCCAAATCACCTCATTTCCATGCTTACTTATTAATTTAGATTAGATTTATTAGTTTTTTAAACACCGTTTTCTTACAAAATCATTATTAAATACCCCATCCATTTTTTATTATAAATTGTTTTGAAAAAATATGTATTACAATATTAATCATTTTATAATTTTAATAAATAAATTAATAATATTTTTTCTATTATATCCTTAAATAGAACAATGAACGGAGGTGCTTATTAAAACTTTTAAAATGTGTGAAAAATTGTTGAACATTCTTCCATTTATATTTTAATTTGATGATCATAAAAATGAAAAAATAGATATTTTTTAATTTCGAAAATGTCAAAGTTAAGGCAAAGACCGTCTGATGATAATCAAACGGTTAGAACCGCGTCACAGCGTGATTGTGGGGTGTTCCAAGTGCAGCAAATCTTTGAAGTTGAAAAACATTAATAGCGGAGTTTGAGGAACTGTGACCCTTCTCTGACACTGTTAATCTCTTACTCTTGGCGCTTCATTCCCAATTTCAATCATTTTCAACCTCACCCTTTTCTCCACACTCTCCATTCTCATCATTTTCACTAATACAAAAATCACAAATCGATTTATCAAAAACTAACATCAACTCTCTCCGCTCCTATAAACCCTAACATCCATGGAGTTGGAAGGAAACTCTGATAACGATGGCACCCGCGTCAACTTATCAAATCTTGCACCGGTTGCACCGGATCAAACCGGAGAAGGTTTACCTTACGCACCGGTAAACTTCCCTAATCCCGGCGACATTTGGCGGTGGAAAGCCGGCAAGAGAATTTCGTCTAACGGTAACTATCGGGACCGGTGGCTTTATCTTCCTCGTCGTCTTGCTGCCTCTTACCGCGGCGGTGGATTTCCAAGCAAGCTTGCGGCTGAACGCTACGTCAAAGAATCGTTCCCTCATGTTAATATTGCTGATTTCTTCGCTTCCTTCACCTGGAGTATTCCTTCTGGTCTTCCTGGTCCGTCTCTTTCCTCTGTTCTTGATTTTGCTTTTCTTCACGATGCTGTTAATTTGATCACAGTGATTCTGAAAATGAGGCAACTCGTCATGGCAGCCTTATAGGAATTGATCAGAACTGCCTCTAGAAACAAGTTACATTTTTCTTGAGTTTCCACAAAATAGGAACTTTGCATTTAAGCATGTTTAATGAAATCATCTTAGCAAGTGTGAGTAAAGGCAAAATGCCTTTCGTGTTGCATCTTTTTTGTTTTGTTTTGTAAATTTCCTCCTACTTGTTGTAATGCTTTTCTGCACCATTAGATGATTATAGTGCCACATAACATACAAGCCTGTTCTGCAATGTAGGCAACATGAATCCTGTAGCTGATGGACTTCTTCATCGTCTTCATCGGTTAGAGTTAAAAGAGCAGACAGAATCTGATTTCGAAATTGGTGGATGCAAAGCTGGGAATAAGGCGTGCAGCAGTTTGATTTTGGAAGAAGAAAAAGAAAACTCACCAGTCACACCATGTGATATCTGTTGCGTTGAACCTAAATTTTGCCGGGAATGTTGCTGCATTCTCTGTTACAAAAGAGTTGATTCAGCTTATGGTAGCTATAGTTACATCATGTGCAAAGTAAAACTAGGCGATAATATTTGTGGCCATGTGTGTCATCTGGAATGCGCTCTTCGATCTTATTCGGCTGGCACTGTTGGAGGAACAATTGGATTGGATGCTGAGTATTTTTGTTGGCGCTGTGATGGGAGGACTGAACTGATTTCTCATGCAGATAAGCTTCTACAGACATGTGAAGCTATTGATACAGATGATGATGTTAAGGAAAAAATTCTAAAGCTTGGTATTTGCCTCCTGCATGGTTCAGAAAAAGTCGCTGCAAAGGAGCTTCTGAGCCGTATTACATTGGCCGTGTCAAAGGTATTGTTAAATTCATTTCAAGTGATAGAAAAAATGCCTTTCTTGCTTTTCTTCTATTAAGTATGTGTTTGGTTTCGCGTTAGAAAATCAAATCACGTTAAAAAAAACAACATCCCAATGCAAAAAAAAAAGTGAAAATAATGAAGCAACTATTTGGAGCTTTTGAATTGATGTGGTTATTCAACTTGATGTGCATCCAAACACATTAATCTTAAAAGACATTATCATGACAAATTTGGTCTTTTACTTCAGCTTAAAAATGGGACTAATACTGAAGATATCCTGAACGATGACAATCATACAGCTAATTCTTCAGGTAAATGTTCTATCGATATTACTTTTGCACTAGTTGTGTGCTTATGAAGGTGAAAAACTCCCCCCTCTCCCATTCTAATGTAAAAATGCTGAAAAGAATACGACAACTGTTGAACATTTTGTTTATCAACAGGTTCTTCAGGTAACGGCAATGCTGCAATGGATACTACAGACGATGAAGGTCCTTCTAAGCATCTAAATGCTCAAAAAGGAACACAATCTTTTCGTTATCAATCCGAGTTATTAAAGCTAGATGCTGAGTTTGATAAGGCTATGGAGGATCTTGAAAAATCCCAGAAGTATGAATATAAGCTGGCAGAGGAAAGTCTTCATACGCATAAGAAATATTTACTAAATATTTCACAGCAACTGGATAAAGAGAAATCCGAGTTAGCAAGCGAATCCGACACATCTTGTTCGAGTGTCTTGCTTCAAACTGTCGAGAAAAGAAATGAACAGCTAAGGCAGGAACTGAAAAAGTTTGAAGAAATGAAGAAGGTAGCTAATGGTTTTGGCAGCACATCCAAAGAAATTTTAGAAATGCACTTTGGCTTGTAAATTGCATTCTAAAATGAAAGGTTTATACTTTATAGAGATTACAGGGTTGAATAAATTGGCTATGGGCTATGGCAACAGTTTTACTGCCAAATAATAAATAGGAACTAATTCCTACAAAAACAGCCTGAATTTATTTATTTTAATTGCAATAAAATATCTTTTGAGACCAAGTCTTTAGATGATTGAGCAACAAATTTTTGGGTTTTAGTTGTATTTAAATTTTGCAATTTTTATTACTATACTAGTAACTTTGATATATTTTACTAGTAATTGTGTCTCATCTTTTAGGTTGTTTTGATATGTGAACTATGTTTACTAGTGGTTACACAAAAATTTTGGTGTATGATTATTTTTATAGTAGAAAGATTTATTAATTAGGTCCGTGATTTTTATTTTATTATTTTGAAATAAAATAAAGTGTTTATTGTTAATTTATTTATTTTTATTGAAATAATACACTATTGACACTCAACTCCACACCATCTTTATGCTACCCTAATTTTCAAATAGATTTTTTCACCTCAAATTCGTTTTAAGTCTCAAAATGTGCATGTTCGAGTTTTTTTGACTTCCGTAAATCTCTTCTTTTAAATGCTAACATGACAACTTTCTTTATCTCCTTATTTATTTTCAAACTTAGATCATCATCTTCTTCTTCATTTCTAAATTCAAAACTAATTTTCATTGCATCATCGTCCCTAGTTTTCATCTCCAAACTTGAAAATTCACAATCTTCATAAGAATAATACTCTTAATCACCAAAAATGTTCCTACCTATATTTGGTATGAACATTCAATTGTGTCTTCATTTATTCGTGATTAACTAATTATGTGCTTTGAGTGTCGAATGATTCACTTCCTCTTCTTCTAGCGTCTCTATTGGATAGTGTTCGATACTCATTCAGAAACATATTCTCAACCAATGTTTTACCATCTGTAACAGATTTATTTAACATAGTGCCTCTAGCTAAAACATCCAACGATAATCTTATTTCTCCTTGAAGTCTTTTTGTGGAGTATTATACTTGCGCCAAATCATCAAGGTTATGTGAAGGACAACGTTAAATCATCCGTTTATACCTTTCTCACGTGTTATGGAGAGATTCGATTTCTTCTTGATTAAATTCAGTGATGTCAGTCATCTTGTCTACAAACTTGTTTATTGAGTATAACCTTTCAAAAAACATTTTTTTGAGTTCTATTATGATATTTATCGTTCCACTTGACTCGTCCTGGAAGCGTTAACGCAAACAAACGAAGTCTCTTTTGGCTTTCACTTATTCCATTTAGATTGCAAAATGAACATGTCTCTCTTGGGAGATGCTCGTAGGAATTTATCAAAATACTTCCATCAAATGGGATGCCTCTCAAACTTGAAAGGCATGGTTTTTAATATATATAGCATGAATTCATCGGTTGAAATATGTAAGCTATCTATATGTCAATTGTTTTTTAGTCCAAAATCTTCTAGAATACGTCTACACGGGCCAACCATTATTTCCTATTCTTCTTTAGTTACACAAATTTCTTTTCAAATTTCCATTGCAGTCGTTTCAATTTCTAAATCAAAATACAAATCTTCTGAACTTGTCCCACACGTAAACTAATAAGCAGATTACCTTCAATAGTATCAAGTTAGAAAAAATTAAAACTAAAAATGTAATTAACAATAACATAATTTAAAATTTTCTATTATCAAATACATTCACCTATTATTTTCTTGTTGAAGTCATCAACAATTCCTAATAATGACATCATTTTATTAATTTTAAATGTATTGTTCACTTTCACTGTAATCCAGTGCCGACAAAAATTACAAAGTCTAAGTGTATTTTAATCAGATTCATAGGGATTATCTCAATTTAACAAGACAAAAGAGATTGATTCTACTTGTTATTAGAAACACATTGAAATATAATCATAACAGAGGATGTGTAGAGCGTGATTGATTGATTTGTGTTATACCTAAGAGAATAACTAAACTAAGCTAATTGGTTGAATTAGTCTATGAGAAAAACGATTAAGCCTCTTTCAAATCCTTTGTCAATTTCTTGTGGCATCTTGCTTGAACTTGTAATGGTCTATCTTTAATCACGACTCTTTTAAAATAGTTACCGAAAATTTCATCGTTGAGTAACCCTCTTCGTTATTACTATTACTCCACTTACCTTAACGTAACTGCAAGAAGGTTTATCACACGTAAAACATCTCATATTATAATTGAATATGCCATATCTCTAACAATCACAAACAATTCCACAATCCTATTTAATTATAATATACAAATCTACGACTAGTTCTCGTTGCAACCTAACAACGGAAAAACATTAAGCACAAACAAAATTGAATAATTATAAGAGAAGATTCATTTACAAAGAACAAAATTTATCGAATCACATTATTCACACTATTGAAATAAATTCATATGGGGCACCTAATCTTAGGGAACTAGCCACTTATTCTTAAGGGATTTATGACTACTAAAAATTAAAATAAAAAAATAAACTTAAAATTATTATGGATGGTTCCATATTGTTGAATCTGGTTTCTCACATCCCCATATTTTAAGAATATATTTTTGTCTCATGCAAATTTAGAGCACTAATGACTAAAAAAATATAACATTATATAAAAAAATCCTGATACCGTAAAATCTCGCTGCTATTAATCCTAGATGCACCACAAATAATTAATTTGTTGACTTGACATTTTGACATCATAGAAATCACGTCGTTTTATATATAAGAAGCACCACTAGTTTTCTTGGCGGCAAATCAAAAAAGTGCCACTCTAGATTGACACTGTTGCTATTTTATGTAAATTGCGTCGCTAGGGCTTATGGCATTGCCACTATTTTTTATTTCTCTTTTCTTCTGTTTCTCGTTTTTTATTTCTCTTTTCTTCTGTTTCTCGCATATTAGTCTTCTCTTTACTTTATCATCGTAACTTCTAATAGTAAAATATCATAATATTTGTCTGGTAAGAATGCCTTTGACTTAGACGGGTCTTTTTCACAACTATTCAAAAAAATTATTAGAACCTACAAAACAAAAACACAAAACAAAGTAAATCGTTAGTAAAAAACATGATATGATAAACTGATATATCAAATCTATACTTATGGTTGTTGATGCAACGCTTTGTAACTAAATAAACACGCATTCATCTCGACCATCTAACTGAATAGACACGCCTTCCACTCGACCATCGTATCTATTATGTAATAAAATAAATGTTAAATATATTTAACAATTCGATTGAACTAATACATAATACAACTAAATAGAGGTTTTTCTTGATTAAGGGATATGAATTTCTCTATAAATAGAGAATTTAGAACCAGGAAGAGAGACAAATTTGCAATTATTCTAAGTCATCTCTTCCATTTATATCACTTTAAATCATCTTTCATTTCTCTAATGTTTAAGTGAAGAGCAGAATTTTTTATTCTAATAAATTATTGTAAAAAATTATGCTTGTGTTTGTGCAAATCACATCAAGGCCTTCAAAGTATTCTGAAATGAATACGTTGATTATTTCATTTGTATCTAGTATCCATTAAGTGGTGAATCAAACATAAAGGTGAGTGTGAAAACACACAATTTAAAGATTTCCAACAACAAAGATTTCTAACACTTGTTTAGTCATGCAGCATCATTGTTAGCACAATTATAAACATGATCAAAACTGCAGACAAAACATAAAGCTTCTTTCTACCTCCATTGCATTTACTGAACTTTTCATGCATGATCGTTTGAAAGTCATACATCATCATCCACAACTAACTACACTTTCATATCACCACATTTTGTCTACAGAGAAAAGTGCCCAAAAAATAAAGACAATCACCAAATATGAACTCAACTTCCTCACAATCTATTTCTATTGCTATGCTAAGTTTTTGTTACCTTTCTTCATCAATTGTGAAACAAGCAGTGTGCGTCTATACAAGTAATAAACTCAATCTTTTCTATCTCTGTCAAGCAGAGCCATCAAAATGTCTATACAAGTAATAAACTCAATCTTTTCTATCTCTGTCAAGCAGAGCCATCAAAATAACACGATTCGCCCTAGCTAGCTTCTTGCACTTCTTCCACCTTTTCTGCTAACAGCCTCACATAACCGACATGGCAATGTGTCAAGGCTCACAGATCGTGTTTTCGCATAGTTACCCATTACACCACACCTTCTCCATGCATGGTATTCTGCATAGGCTACCGGGTCATTAGCTACAGCCTTTACGTACGAAGCCAGCTTTTCCAATGACTTGAATTCTCTACCATTGATTATTGAATGTGGAGGAACAAAATCCATGACATTTGGTGCACCAAAATATATAGGAACAGCACCCGAGTCCAATGCATAATATAACTTCTCTGTCACATAACTCTCGGTGAAAGTGTTCTCGATTGCAAGAACAAACTTGTAATGAGACATGGCACAATGTAAATGATCCCACCATTTCGGTTTAGTATTTGCGTCGTTTTCACACTTCGGAAAGAACGAAAGAGCCATGTCTAGACCACCAACATTGTTTAGGCACTTGCCAAATGAATGGCTAGGTAGCAGGCCGAGGAGTTTCTTGGCAAGTTCATTTCTTTGAGGAAGACACCGCGACGAAGACCAATAAACAAGTATATCCTACAGATGATAATTTCGGTTAGGTTACTATGAGTCCTTTCTTTATCTGTCATTTAACATCCTGTTTGTAAAAATTACTACTTACACCGTTTTTCTTATCAGAGACGTGATAGTTCCGTTCATTGTGAAAAAGGGAACCGGCATAGGTTGACTGTACATCATCTTCAGCATGGTAACTAATGTATATATCCTCTCGGCCTGATCTCTTTCGACCAGCTTCGAGATCCATGTACGCACGAAGTGGTTCTCCCACGCGTCTCTGAAATAAAAATATAAACCATAACAAAGTGAGTCAAATCCAATACTACGGCATATATTACCAGCTAAAAAAACTTAAAAGCTTGACATGTATTCTACAAGACAACCATGCAAGATAAGCATTTGAGAAGGGTACGCAATAACAGTTTGTTTGAGTATAAAACTAACAAGATTTAGAATAACTTAAAACAAATGGTGTTTATAGAGCACTTCTACTAAAATGTCCACCACATTTACTGAAGAAGACATCAAAGATGAAAAAATAATAGTTCAAGCTAGCAAACTCAGCACTTACTGACGGTTGAAACTGTAAGAATGTTATTAACCACGCCTTAAGACCTAAAGGCTCAAACTGATACATATCTTGAGCCATAAGACACAGTGCAGATATATTGCATTCGTACTACAGATGAACATTTTCGTGTTTCATATATATAATATCTTTTGTTTATAGTGTGTAAGATGAGGGCTCAGAATATCATTCTGTGAATAAGTAATTTGTTAACTACTGAAACTGAATTAAAATGCATCTTGAGTGGTGATTTTCGTAAGTCTGATCATTGACAATGAAAATAGAAACAGAACCAGCACAAAACAAAGTTTAACAAATAAAAGAAAAACCAAAATGGCAATAAAGCTCATAACATTTCAAAAAGAACAAAGGGACATTATCACCAACTGAACCTTCTGCTATCTGTGATTGGTTAAGCCATAAAAATAATCAGGAGTTTTGTTTTGCTAAGAAGTCGTGGAATGATACTACAGTAGAGGTGTAAACATGAAGGAACAAGAATGAAAACTATGGCCATTTGGCCGAAGAAATCCATGAAATAAAAATGGCCTTCATTACTATTCTTCACTGTTTTTACATCTATAAAAAATTCCCAAATAAATGCACTCCACCACACAACCAGCAGAGTTCTTCCTAGAATTACTAGGATTAATCAGGATGAAGAAATGCTCCTACAGATCCTACACTAGCAAACAGTCCTCACTATGAAATCACTATAGCAGATTATGCATTACATGCCAATGCAAGCTAATTGGAAGTCCAATAAAAAGAACTCGAGCACAACTTTTAAAACTCAACTCAAAATCGTGAATGCAAGATTCACACAAAGGTCATCCATAGTTGTAGATAAAAACTGCCTGTGAAAGCTGACATCAGAATGTTAAGCAAATATTTTGGCTTGCTGCAATGGTAAATATCAGCCGTTATTGCAGATTTTAACTGCTATAATCCACTAAAAGGTGCTGCAAAGTGCCGGTATGGCGTAATTTTGGCTCTCCGCCATGGACAACACTATCTATGAGGGCATGACCAAGGGAAGAATCTCTAAATCTCTATTGTTTCAGCCATGCTTTTCAAGAATCAATTGCAAAGAAAGGATCATAAATCAAACTCTCAGTAATGGCAGAGTAGATCACCTTCATGACTCTGTGACAATCCCACCATCATTGCAATATCAGGCATATCAAAATATTGGTCAGGAAGAAAAGTAACAAACCTATAATCATTTTTCATTTTCACCTAATCCAATCAACCTAATTAAGCATTTTAATAAATAAAAACAAAAAGTACCTGAATTGGAGGCGTAGATGTTTCAAACAACAAAGCATCAGGTTTATCAGCAAGAACATTGGATTTGGTCCACAAACAACTCAACCCACACCGACAAGAATACAAATTATCCAAATTATCAGGAATCCAAGTCCACCCTTTCACCAAAACACTAACATGATTAAGCTCAAACCCCCCACACCCACCACCAAACTCTTGCAAAGAAACAACCTTTGATTGATTCAACAAAACCCCATTTGTTTTCTCTCTGAATTCAGCACAACCCACTCGCGAATCCCATTTCCTGAAAGAAGAAAGCAGATCGGTGAAGGGGTCGGAGGAGGAATTGGTAGAGGGAAGCGTGAAGGATTCGTGGATGGGTGGGAGAGAGGGTGACACGGAAGGGAAATGGAGGAAACCGGAGAAGAAGATGAGGAAGAAGGTGAAGGCAAGCATGATGGTGATTGTGATTGTGTTGATGGGTTTGGGAGAAACTAGGAGCATGCTGGTGGAAGAGGAAGCAACAACAACAAGGTTAGGTGGTGTTTGGTTTCTATGTCAGTTTTTTAGTGAGAGAAAGTAAAGAGAGAGAACATTGGAATGGTGGAGTGAGGAACGAAACGTGAAATTGCTCATCTTGTTCGTTTTTGGACTCGGAAGAAGTCCAAAATGTTAACACAAAGGTCATGAAACAACTATTTTGATTATTTTTCAATCTAATTTGCCTATTCACATATATATACATAGTTTTTTACTTAATAATAATTTGTATAATGGACCTTTCATAAATGTTGATAACTCAGCCAAATCTACTAATACTGGGTTTGGTTTGGCTTCTTAGCATGTAAACGCACGTTTAAAGCCCTTCCAACTCTGATTTTTAAATACTACAAAAGGTAGCTTTTGTGTAAACGTGAATTTTGAACTTTGAACGTGATTTTAGGAATCTCACTGCCAAACCAAACATAACATAAGGCTAAATCATATGTTTGTGTGGTAGATTATATCTTTAAGTTGGAATAGTTGGATATATGGTTAGGGTGTCAGAATGACAAGAGAACAAGTAATCACGTATAAAATTATTAAGATCTATTAAGTAGAAGGTCTTTTCTACCAAATAAAGGTAGAGGGTATTTACTAATTTGTAAAATTTAGATTAAATTTCATTTTTTAAAATAATTAGCAGAAAATCCGCGCGTCTGTACGTATAAAAATATTTATATATCTATCTGAAAATGGAATTAAATTTAATGAAAAAGTTTAGGCATAAAAAGTTTAGAACATAGTTATAAATTATCCATAATTCAAAAATCATCTCAACATTAAAAATATATTTATGTTTTTTTTTTATTTGAATTCAACTGATTGTGTTTCATGCCACTTCATAAAAATTTATTTAATCAATATGATTAAAAACTACTAAAAGTGATATATCGACTTAAGGTGTTAAATTGAATCTTCTAGGCCATCACACTTGCTATTTCAAGTGTTGTAAACTCTTAATGGCAAACCATTGTCAATACCCTAATACAGATTAACGTGAGTTATAATGGAGTAACTGCAAAAGATATGAAAGATAAAAATCCGGTAGAAAATTTATTATAATTCTATAATGAAAATTAATCTTACCGGTTGATCAGAACTTGAAAGTGGGCCTCGATGATGACGTCTGCTTGACTGAAAATATGAGGAGAGGAAGGGGGTGTACCTGCAAGGCACTCCAACGATCAAGTAAGAATGAGTGCAAAGAGATACAAGAAAAGGGGTTTTAGTATGAATATTGGATATTTGTCCCTCTCAAATAATGCCTCTAGCGCGTAGCTATTGGTTCCTATTTTTGGGCCTAGATATTAGGTTTCACAAAAATAGGTAACTTTCAGGACTTGATCAAAACAGACAGTCGTGCTCGTAACAAACGGTTGCTTCGAGCAAGGGTGAAGTGACAGGCAGACGCGTTGTGAGCATCTTCCTGGTTGTCTGCTCGACAAGTAGCGAGCAGACCTGAAACTATAAGTTGATGCGGGTAGACGCATGGTCAGAGCATCGTTATCCTCGATATTCTCATGATGTGGTTGACCAAGCGTGCTCGATTAGGGATCAGAGTCAGTGGGCCAAAGTTGTTTTAGCCATGCTGAGGTGGAAGCAGATTAGGTTAATTCTAGTCATTGGGCCAATCCAGAACACGAGTCCCCCAAGTTGTTGCTTCCGGGAAGAGGAGTGACGACTTAAGACATGCCCGCAAGAGGGGGACATTTCACGGACGACTTCGTGCAAGGAGTTCGAGCGATGCTTGGTGTGCCTGTCTCGTGGGGAGAAGAATACTTGAGTGGGTCTTGAAGGGTTAACGTGTTGCGCTTGCATTAAGCCACGTGCTGTTATAAATGCGCAATGATGACAAGCCTAGGGACTAGGGTGCAATGATGGCATCCCTTAGGTTTCCCTAGGTGCGTGCCCGCTCACGTGCTGGCCAACCTCGTCATCGATTGGCCAGGTTGTCGGGCATCTTTCTCCTCAGCAAGTGTCCTGGAGGTTCAAGAGAGCATGTATCAAGGGTGTTGTCGACTTGACCAGAGAACAGGAAAAGGGAAAGTTTGAACTTCCCCCATGATTTCATGACAAGGCCTTCTTTGAGGGCTCCTCTGTGCAGGTTCATCAAGCTGAATCATTGGTGCTCGAGGAGATGGATCGTCCAAGAAAGTGAGTGATGTTGGACCGAGATGCTGGTGCTCTAATGAGGATCCTCAGGATGACCGTTGTCTATGCTAAGGAGGGATCTTCCCAGGAGGCTGAGTTGAAGAAATCCCAAGACAATGTGGTGGTTCTCGAGGAGAGGCTCAACAAGGCAAAATCTTCCAACAAAGCATTGTCAGAGAGCATGGCCAAATTGATCGAGGAGCATAAGACACTTGCGCTGAAAAAAAGGACCCTTAAGGGCATAATTGCAGCTATGAAGGCAGAGATGGCTCCTATCGAGGATGAAACAGATGAGGCCAAGGGTCTGAAGACCCGAGTAAAGTTGGTTGCTCGCCTCTAATTGGCCGTGGACGATGGTATGGCCAACACTGAGGAGAGCTTTATTAATGTCGTGGCGCATCTCAGAGTGGTGAATCGTGATGTGGATTTGAACACAGTTGGGAAGAGGTTCCTCTATCATGTGGTGAATGGGAAAATCGTCATTCCCGACCACCTCAATTTTGGAGAGGACAAATTAGTTGAGGAACTTGTCTAAGAGGAACATGCTCACGATGAGGGATCTCAAACCGTTGTTTGACCAGCTCATTGTTGCTTCTTATTTTGTCTTATGTGCCTCTTTGTTGTAATTTGTTTTAGGGTCCCTGCCTATTTTAATGTAATTTTCAAACAATCTGGTCCATGTGGCCACATGTTCGTTTATTTGGATGGGGGATTCAGGAATCCTTTATGTAATATCCTCGACAATTACAGCCTTCGTGGCCATCTTTAAATTTTTCGACTGTGGTGGTTGCTTGTTTTAATCTGCACCGTTTCAGTGTTTTTAACTTTACTTTATGCACTTATTTATCGATTATTTATTGTGAAATGTTTTCATGTACGTATGCTCGCCTACCGGAGACGTTTATCTTGTTTGAGTCTTTCAGGGAATTTGCTCGTTAGTTCGCCAGTGAGGGGAACTGGTCGAACGGGTAGAGTAATTTCTAGGCACGAGCCAAAACTCAAACCTCGTTTTTTGGGCCCGAGCTCGGTGATGTGAAATTCTCATCGTGAGATGGATGTTCTGCCATCGTGGTATGACGACGGTGGAACTCGTTTGAGTTTTCCATGTTGGGCTAAGAATCTGCTCGTTAAAAGAGTGGAGACTTACCTTTTTCTTTAATTTTAGAGTGTCATGCTTGTACCTGGGCAGGCACATGTGGTCGGGCAGACCATGTTTATTGTTTTGACGAAGCACGCCGACTGTACTAGTGTCTTAACTGTAATATGGCCATAGTTTTCTGATATTCCATGGTCGATCAAGTTGTTTCCCATGTAGGTTTTCCAGGTAGTACGCCCCGTTCCCCGTCTTTGCATAGATGCGATAGGAGCCTTCCCAATTTGCGACGAGCTTTCCTTTGCGAGATTATTTGTGTTTTCTCTTTAAGACCAGACTGCACTTCGAATTCACGTCGTATGACTTTGGTGTCATATCATATGGAAATTTTTTGTTTGAGGGAGGCTTCTCGTAAGGCCGCCCCCGCTCGAATTTCCTCGACAAGGTCGAGCACCTCTCTTAACGATATGTCGTTCATCTCTTCGTCAAGGGGAGCTTTAGTCCTTCTAGAGGGCTTCCTGGTATTGACTGGGATGACGACCTTGGTTCTGTAAGCTAGTCAGAAAGGAGTCTCTCCAGTGGATAAGTGAGTTGTTGTTCAATAGGCCCAAAGTACGCTATGTAGCTCTTCGACCCACCTCTTTTTGGTTTCGTCCAACCTCCGTCTAAGACCTTGCAGGATCACCCTGTTTGCAGACTCGACTTGTCCATTCATCTATGTGTGCTCGACAGATGCGAAGTGTTGGATGGTGCCTAATTTGGCGATGAATTCCTGGAATTATTTGTCGGTGAATTGTGTCCTATTGTTGGTGGAGATTGCTTAGGGGATGCCAAATCGAGCAAGGATGTTCCTTTTATAGAAACAGAGAATGTTTTGCGCGGTTATTCTGGCTAGCTCTTCTGCTTCTATCCATTTGGTGTAGTAGTCCACGACTACTATTAGGTACTTGTTTTGGTTCGATCCCACCATGAATGGTCCGAGGATATCCAAGCCCCACCATGAAAACGACCATGAGGATGACAAAAACTTGAGCTCACTTGGAGGCGCCAAGTGCATGTCCTCGTGGCGTTGACCTTTGTCACACTTCTTTACGTGTTCTTTAGCGTCGTGCTGCTGTTCACCGTGTTTTCTGGTAAACAACCACTAATCTTCCAAAAAGGGTAACTTTTTGGTTTCTCGTAGGATCGATCAGTTTGATCCTAGGACATATGCTAATTTTTGGTGTTGTTTGGACATAAATGCTAATGTAAGTGAAGAACGTACATTCGACTGGGAAAGGGATGAGTTTGAGTGCAGAAAGTAAATAGAAAAGGGGTTGAGGGGAGTTTAGGTGTAGGAATCTGGGTAAAAGTGCAGATAAAGTGCAAACAAGATAAAAAGGCAAGAAATTTAAAGAGAGAAGTAAAAGACTTTGATTATAAAATGTGGTGTTTCAAACGTACATTTTCAGTATTATTTCTCACGCAGCGGGTACTTGAATAGTATTGAATAATTTGTATGATCCGTTGAACAAACGAAAATCTACATAAACTTCCTATATTTATACTAAAACTAGGTAACCATCAAGGAGTTGCCTTGCTCTAGGATGAAGACAAGTGTCTTCTGCATGCGCTTCAACCCCTCTTCTTCACGCCATGTTGCTTCCCTTAACTGCCAAGTGAACTGCTTTTCCCTCCTTTCTTCAGATTCAAAATCTTCTGGTGCAGATACAAAGTT